GTGAGAAAGTGAATCACTTTTTCCAAATGAATCTTAAGCTATGCTTTCTGGTCTTGGCCTTAAATTTAATATTTTCAACCCCAAAGTGATTAGGTTTTCTTGCAGCAAAGTGCCAGGAATAGGTGTTTTTTTTTTTTTTTTTTTTTTGTTGTTGTTGTTGTTTATTCAGCCAATATTTGAATACTTACTGTGTCTCCAGGTAACTGTATTATCTGCTTGGGAAAACAATAGCAAAACAGCCCCATCCTCACGGTGGGTGGCAGGCAAAGAAGGCTGACGGTTGAGGAGAACTGGGAAGGCCTCTCTGAGGAAGAGATGTTTGAACTGAAACCTAGTGGTCAGAGAAATGTTAACCAGGAAAGGAATGGGTGGGGGTAGAGGCAGGGAGGGGCTCCAGCCAGAGGCTCTCAATTTCCTCATTTCAGAATTTGAGTTGGACTAGGCAAATTCAAAGGTCCCTTTTAGTGCTTACCTTCCTAGGATATGTAAACTAGAGGAAGCCCTCATTTTGTGTATGTCCTGTAGTTCATGTTAAATTAAATCAGGTACAATGCTCAGTACATAGTTAATGGCTCACAGATGATTGCCGTTACTCATTTAAAGTAGAATTGGTAAAGGATACTCAGTTCAGGAGAGCGAGCACATCCTCAGGCTGCAGGCACGAAGGCTTTTCCCCAATATTCCTAGCTACAGGTTTCTCAGCGTCCTGGGTGGACAGTTGGCTGAACTAGCGAAGGGCCAGCTCCTTCTTAGCTAATCTGTAATGAATGCTTCACTCTTGTAGTAGTGGTCTAGGCTTTGCTATTATGTTTAGTTACTTGTTTTCTCTCAGCCCTAGTCAGCTGTAGAGTCTGGTGATGTAGCAGCAGGAGCAAGAGTGAAACCTGTGGAATCTCCCCAGTTCCTTTCTCCCAGAGAATAGGGCTCAGGCAGAGGGCAGAGTTCTTTCTCCTTGTTTCTGCCTCTGGCTGTGAGATCTAAAATAAAGAAATTGTTGACATTCCCTTTAGGTCTCCTTTGTTCTAAATTCTGTCTTTTGTAATTGATAGGAAAACAAAACAAACACACAAAATGAACATGAGACAAATTCTAGAGACTTAGATTCAAATTCTGATACTGTTTTTACTAAGTGACCCTAGGCAAGAAGACTCAGCTTCTGTGTTTTATTGATTTTATTGATTTTAATTTTTTCACAGTTTAACATTCCTGGGCAATCTAGATGCATCTTAAAATCAATTCTTTTTAGTTGTATATAAAATTTGATGCATTTTATGACTGGTGGTATCTTGGATTTGATGAAATATGGTATTTTGTCTTAACTATTGGAATTAACAAATTGTCTTATTTACTTCATGAGGATTTATTGTTAGGATTAACAAGGCTAATTTATTCAGCAGTTTAAATATTTGTATGTGCCAAAATAAACATTCTTCTATGGCCTTTTTTTATCTATTATTAATACTTTATATAGTAACTGTCATTGGTAAGTATTAAAATAGTAGCTATTGCTATAATTAGTTATTTATTACTATTCTGTTCAAGCTTCATAAAAACCCTGTGAGGTGATAGATTTTATAACTGAAGATGCTGAGACACAGGGGATCATGTAATTCAACAATGTGGCTTCATTATACCACTTTCCTCTCTATCACTCTGCCTGTCAGCTCTCTTCATTTGCCAGATGAAAGGCTGAAGCTACATGACCCTTCAAAGCCATTCCACAAGCCAGTGTTTCTGTTTGGGTGACTGTCTGCTGCTGTTCCCAAGCCCATCCACATTTCTAGTGATTACTCCTATGTCTGCGTAGCTTAGTGGTCACCCACTGTTTGGTGACTTTATACTTAGATACCTCAAGTCAGTAACTTCTGCCAGTGGATTGTGAGTTTTGTCCAGTTTTATTGTTGCTTTTGTGGGAAAAATTTAGCTAAGCTACTTATTTTATCTGTCAGACATCCCACTCCTCCTTTAGATTCACTCTTATAGATACCATTTATTTGCTGTTCATTCTTTCTTGCAGCAAAAATGTTCTGATTTCACTTTGCCTAACGTGCATCCTACTTTCATTTGTTTCCTCTACATTAAACATGAGGACTTTCACTGCTGAATGTAAGGAAATCAACCTTATTAAATTACCAATTTTCGTATTATGTAAATCAGTAAATCAAAAGGTCTTCAGATAAGGGTCACTAACTGTTCTTGATTTTGTGGCAGTTTTCTTTAATGAGCTCATTTTCTTTAATGAGCATATGTTAGTGTCATACTCTCAAGTTTTCTTTTCTGAAAATGTATTTATTTTACTTTGATTCATGAAGAACATTTTCATTGGGTGGAATTCGTAGTTGTCAGTTATTTGGTTTTATGTGTTCTGATATGGTTTCATTTATCTTGCTTAGGACCTGTTAGGTGTTTAAACCTGTGAATTAGTTTTTTTTTTTTTTTTAAATCAGTCTAGTAAATTGCTACTTATCTCTTCAGATACTTTCTTCCTTCCTTCCTTAATCCATTTTCTCTCTCTGGACTGCTTACTAAATGCTTATCAGATCTTTTACACTGTCATCATGTTTTAAAACCATTTTTTTCATATATAAATTTATTATCTCTGCTGCATTCTGTGTAATTTTTTTCTTCCAAGGAAGTTTCTCCTCCCACCCCTCATGGCCACCTTTCCTACAGACATTTGTGGGTAGGGATTTGGTGGACTCATGCTGTTTAGGGATATAGCTCATTTGTGGTCCCAGTTCAGTGTGGAGAGAGACATTTTTTAGCCATGGATGGGACCTGGGCTTGGCTCTTGAATTATGTTCTTGTCTCCTTTGAGAATGCTAAAACTGGCCAGGTGCAGTGGCTTACATCTGTAATTCTAGCACTTTGGGAGGCTGAGGTGGGAGCATTGCTTGAGCCCAGGAGTTTGAGACCAGTGCGGACAACAGAGTGAGAGCCTGTCTCTACCCCAAAAAGAAAAAAGAAAAAGAATGTGGAGGCCGGGTGTGGTGGCTCACGCCTGTAATCCCAGCACTTCGGGAGGCCAAGGTGGGTGGATCATGAGGTCAAGAGATCGACATAGTCCTGGCCAAAATAGTGAAATCCCATCTCGACTAAAAATACCAAAAATTAGCCAGGCATAGTGGCAGGTGCCTGTAGTCTGAGCTACTCAGGAGGCTGAGACAGGAGAATTGCTTGAACCTGACAGGCGGAGGTTGAAGTGAACCGAGATCATGCCATTGCACTCCAGCCTGGGCAACAAGAGCGAAATTCCGTCTCGAAAAACAAACAAACAACAAAAAAAAACTAAAGAAAGAATGTGGAAAGAAACCAAAGCCCCAGCTTTGTATAGGTTCGTCATGGCTTCACGATAAAGACCTCTAGATCACCACTTATCCCTCTGGGTTCTTTCTTCTTGGCTTAAAACTTCTTGATGGTAATGGTGATTATTATTACTATTTAAAAACATTTTAGCTGAGACATTTTAGTTGTTTTCAGTGAAAGGATTGTCTTGTCTGCCATTATCAGAAATGGATGGCTCCCTTCCATTCACCCTTGGGCCATATAGTCTTTTATATTTACCCACATATTTACAATTTCCAGTGCTCTCATTCCTTCACCTAGATCCAAGTCTATGTCCAGTGTTGTTTCCCTTCAGCCTGAGGAACTTGTAGCATTTCAGCATAGTTACTCCTAGACCTTAGTGTTATCTTCACATTTAAATGAAACTCTGCCCCTATTTAGCAGGGCTGCCAAAACTAAGTTATAGTGACATACAGACTGGAGATCATGTAAGAGTAAAATTCTGTTGATATTAGACTGAAATTCTTGCATGACTAGACTTTAGTCTTTATACAATCCAGTATAAAACTGACTGCATAAACGTACATACTGTGTTATCATCATGCTATTTGTGGTAGGATTTCAGTGTCCCCTCCCACCTCACACTTTGGTCAGGAAAAAAAACTGCCACAAGATAGCAGTTAGTGACCGGTATCTGAAGACCCTTTGATTTATTGATTCACATAATATGAAAAGTGGTAATTTAATCAGGTTGATTTTGTTTACATTCAGCAGTGAAAGCCCTCATGTTCAATGTAGGGGAAATAAGTGAAAGTAGTTGATTATTACATTGTAGTTCATTCCTTTGATGTTATGAAAGTTCTTTAACATTTTTATTTTTCAGAGAGGGTTTCAACTATCTAGACGATTCTCTTAATGAGAAATAATGTTCTTTCAGAGCATAAAGCTGACCTTGTTATTTTCAACTTGAAAGCATTTCAATGGCCCCACTGTTGAACAGAGTCAAGTATTCCTGGCCTAGCAAAAGGCATCAAAGGATCCTTCAGTTCATTGCCTTGTGTGTCTGTCCAGCTTTGTGTCCTGCCACTTTTGTGTTGTGTGCTCCAGCAGTCACTCTTAGTGCCGTAACCACACCTTGGCATTTGATACCTCTGAGCCCTTGTCATCTTGTGTTCCCCTTTGACTAGAATTCCTTATTTTAATCTGGTGAAAGCCCTCTTACATGTTAAAAGCCAGGTTTCACAGCCTTTGTGATATCATCCCTGTTCTTCAGAGTTTATTTTTCCTTTCTCTGCTGCTGTGTTGCCTTATGCATAATTCTGTTATTGAACTTTGCACAAACCAATGTAATTATTTAAATAGAGGTTTGAATCCAACAATAAGTTGGAGCCTCTTTGAGGGCATTGTTTATGTGTTGGCTCTTAATCATGTATTAAGTGTTAAATAAATGAGTGAATTACCATATGAAGCCATGTCAGTGAGAGATGGGAATATACACTTCTTCTAATGACTATAATAAATAAGCAGAAAAATTCAAAAGTACCATTATCACTCCTTTTGTGTTAATTGGAATGTCTTCTTGGTTTACTTAAGTTTGCAATTTAATGTATTTATGAGGTCTTTTGGTTTTGAAAAACAAAATAATTCACCCCTAATTGAAATAATTGTAAACAAGTTAGAGTTGTCCTAAAGCACGTTTTCATTTTCATGAGCAGAATCCAACCTGGCGGAGTCTCGATTTTGGAATTATGCCAGACCATCTTGATACATCTGTATCTTGTTTCCTGGTGAAGATATGGGGTGGAAAGGAGAACGTCTACCAGCTGTTGATTGAATGGAAAGTCTGTTTGGATGGGCTGAAATACTTGGGTCAGCAGGTAAATTTTAGATTGTGGTTTCAAGTAGTTGTCATCTCCAAATTAACCTGTTTAACCTTTCTGTTGATTTTTCTGATTCTACGTTTCTTGGTATAAAGACAGACTCTTGTAACTGTTTACTTAAATTACTAAGAGAGACCTTGTGATCATTTACATATGTTATTGTTTACTTATGTTACTTATGTTGTTATGTTGGAATCATTGCATAGTTTAAAAAACACCTCTATCTGAAGAATTTATGAAGACAGATTTGTGAGTGTGTTTAGGAAAGACTGTGCTTTCTCATAGCATTTGGTTTTTCTGTCTTACTGGATGTCCTCACCTAGAATCTGAAAATTAAGTTGAAGTAAGGAATATCATGTCAAATACCTCTCTTTTGACTAGTAGGGTTGGGTTATTCCAGAAATAAGAAGATCTACTATTTATTGAGCACAGGATGACACATGCCTGGATTATATGCTGTTACCGGTTCTCCACCTTTGTTGTACCATTTCTGATGTAGCCAATTGATTACAGTTCTCTTTTAACTGGGCTCAAAAGTAGCTCCATAATATTTTCTTTCTTCCTTTCTTTTATTTACTTCTTCTTTTTTTTTTTTTAAACTTAAAGACAGGGCCTTGCTCTGGTGCCTAGGCTGGAGTGCAGTGGTGCAATCATAGCTCACTGTAGCCTCAAACTCCTGGGTTCAAGCGATCCTTTCTGCCTCAGCCTCAGTCCCTTAATACCTCCTGCCTCAGAAAGTAGCTGGGACTACAGGTAGGTGCCACCATGCCCAGCTAATTAAAATTTGTTTTTTTTTTTTGGTAGAGATGGGTATGAACCCATTAAAAATCTGAGACAGGTCTCAGTTAATTTAGAAAGTTTATTTTGCCAAGATAAGATGCGCCTGTGACACAGTCCCAGGAAGACATGTGCCCAAGGTGGTCAGGGCACAGCTTAGTTTTATATTTTAAGGAGACATGAGATATCAATCAATATATATAAGAAGGACATTGGTTCAGTCTGGAAAGGTGGTACAACTTGAAGTAAAAGCAGGAAGACTCATTTTCCCTTCACCTGGGGGTTTTGCTATGTTGCCCAGGCTGGTCGTGACCTCCTAGGCTCAAGCAGTCCTCCTGCCTTGGCCTGCTGAAGTGCTGGGATTACAGGCATGAGCCACCAAACTTGGCCTTTGTAATCCTTTCTAACAGTATTACAGGACAAAACTAGCAATCTGTCAGAATTGCAAATGAAATGAAACGTATTTGCTATCATCAGATATAGATTATTATAATTAATGTTTATAGCAACTTTGTGAAGGTTGATATTATTGCCCTTATTTTCCAGGTGAGAAATTGAGCCTCAGAGACTTTAAGAAATGATTCAAGATCACACAGTTGGAGCTAAGATTTAAATTCGGGTCTGGCTGATTTAAAAACTCATTCTAGGTCAGGCTCGGTGGCTCATGCCTATAATCTCAGCACTTTGGGAGGCCAGGGTGGGTGAATCACGAGGTCAGGAAATTGAGACCATCTTGGCCAAGATGGTGAAACTCTGTCTCTGCTAAAATACAAAAAAAATAGCTGCGTGTCGTGGCCCGCGCCTGTAGTTTCAACTACTTAGGAATTGCTTGAACCTGGGGGGTGGAGGTTGCAGTGAGCTGAGATCGTGCCACTGCATTGCAGCCTGGCAACGGAGCAAGACTCTGTCTCAAAAAAAGAAAAAAAAAATTCATTCTCTTTGTGCTGTACTGCACTGGTATATATACATATGGTCCTTGGTAACCCTCCACTCCACTTTGGAATGAATCCCGTTTCTATTTTGTGATATCTATGGTACTACTATTAAAGATAACCATAAAATGTTAGTCATAGATTATTTGTAAACATCTTGATGCTTTCTTCACGTTTATTCAATATGTTACTTTCTGAGATGTTTCTTATTAAAGGAACAATTTAATTCTGCGTTTTTTCAGATTAGAAATCTGAAAATCTGGGCCAAGTGTGGCGGCTCGTGCCTGTAAACCCAGCACTTTGGGATGCTGAGGCGGAAGGATCACTTGAGGCCAGGAGTTCGAGACCAGCCTGGCCTACGTGGCAAAACTCTGTCTCCTCTACTAAAGATACAAAAATTAGCCAGGCACAGTGGCACATGCCTATAATCCCAGCTACTCAGGAGACTGAGGTGGGAGAATTGCTTGAACCCAGGAGACAGAGGTTACAATGAGCTGAGATCTCGCCACTGTACTCCAGCCTGCGGCAACAGAGTAAGACTCTGTCTCAAAAAAAAAAAAAAAAAAAATCTGAAAACCTAACAAAAACCTAAAAATCTCTAGGATCATTTTGCTTACCATACTTTTTATCTTTAAATTTTTTACCTGTAGTCACCATGTTGTACTCTCCTGAACTTATTCCTACTATTTAACTGAAATTTTGTTTCCTTTGACCAGCATCTTCCCAATCCTCCTCCCCTCCATGCAGCTCCTGCTAACCACCTTTCTACTCTCTACTTCTATGAGTTCAACTTTTTTAGATTCCACAGACAAGTGAGATCATGCTCTTACCATATTTTTATTTATTTTGTGTCCTATAGTGACCAGAGCAATGATACAATATATATGTTCTTTACATCCTAAACTACAATTTAAACATTAAAAAAAAACTTTTTATTTTTTTCTGTTTTAGGAATTATCTTAATTAAAACTTAAAAAATAATGACTTTTGGTTTAGGCTGGGACCTTTGTTTTCTCTTTTGCTACTGGATACTTGTTGCCTTTAGACTGGCCAACCAGATCCCCGCACTGGGGTATATGCCCTGTCTATCTTCCCACATGCCATGCTTGGCTCTCTGTGGATAGACTCTGATATTAAGCAGTTGTTTCTCTTCTATCTGAAACTGTTTTCATTCCGTGGAGGGTGGTGCTTCTTAGCATTGTGGTTGCAGGGCTCTAGGGCAGAAAGGCTTTTTTGGCCATTGAAGGTGGGCTTCATCATGTTTTTCAAGTCACACATTCCTTTGGTGGTGATCTTGTTGGCATACCCAACTGTGCTTATATCTAACCGGCCCCAATTTCAGAGAGTTGGTGTTCAGGTATCTTTGTGTAAAGTTATTGTGCTGAAGTAACAGAGACAAAAAAAAAAAAAAAAAGGGAAGGAAGGAAAGAGAGAGAAAGAAAAGAAAAGAAAAAAAAACATGTTTCCTAAAGCAGATAGGAACTTAAGATCATTGTAGAATGTCAAAACTTATCTATAAAATAGCCATAACAAGTAACATACTGCTAAAAATAGGATTAAATAGAGTTACATCGTTTTGGAGGAATGTGAGGCTAAGATGTTTTAGGACAATAGCCAGCATCAGTTAGGTCCATTGATAGATCGTATGCTTTCTGCCAGGCATTGTTCTTTGTGTTAAGGATCCAGAGATGTATAGGACAAGGTTCTTAGACCCGGTATACTGATGATTGATGAATACCTTCATAGACAGTTGTGAGAGTGGTACAAGGAAGAGATATGTAGACTAGCTTGGATAGAATCAGGGCCGACTGACTTCTGAATAAATTGTTTTTTTTTTTTTAAGTTAGGTTTATTGTGGTACAATTTACATGTCATAAAATTCACCCTCATAAAAGTGTGCAATTCAGTGAATTTGAAAAATGGATAGAGTTGAATAACCACCACCATAATAAATAAAGCTACTATGAACGTTTAAATATAGGTCTTTGTGTTTCTTTTGGGTAAATCTCCAGGAATGGAATTGATGGGTGTAATGGTAAATGTATATTGAAATTTATAGGCAGCTGCCAGTTTTCCAAAGTGACCATAACATCCTGCATTCCCATCAGCAATATATAATAGTTCTTTTGTTTCACATCTTTGCTAGCACTTGTTATTTTCAGTCTTTTTAATTTTAACCATTCTAATGGGTTTGGGGTGGTATTTCATTGTAGTTTTAATTTGAATTTTCCTCATGACAAAATTAAATTGAGCCTTGTAAGAAAAAAAGTCTATTTGAGATCAGTCTCTCTCCCTCTCTCTCTCTCTCTCTCTCTCTCTCTGTCAGTCTGTCTCTCTGTGTAAAGTGTTTGTTCAGATCTTTTGCTCATTTTTAATTGAGTTGCTTGAATTATTGAGTTGTAAAAGTTCTTTATGTATTCTGGATATAAATCAGTTCTTTATAAGATATGTGTTTTCCAAATACCTTCTGCCAGATTGTGGCTTGTCTTTTCATTTTTTAATGTTGGTAAAGTCCACTGTCAGTTTTTGCTATTATGTTTCATGCTTTTTGTGTCTTATCTTTGCCTAACTCAAGATCACAAAGACTTTTTCCTTTATTTTCTTTTGTAAGCTTTCTTCTAGTTTTAGGTTTTACATTTACATCAATGATCCATTTTGAATTTTCTTTCTTTTTTTTTTTTTTCTTGAGACAGAGTTTACTCTTTCACCCAGGCTGGAGTACAGTGGCGTGATCTTGGCTCACTGCAACCTCTGTCCCCCAGGTTCAAGCAGTTTTCCTGCCTCAGCCTCCCCAGTAGCTGGGATTATAGGTGTACACCACCACACCCAGCTAATTTTTGTACTTTTTAGTAGAGACAGGGTTTCACCATGTTGGTCTTGAACTCCTGACCTCAGGTGATCCACCTGCCTCAGCCTCACAAAGTGTTAGGATTATAGGCTTGAGCCACTGTGCTCCGCCCATTTTGAATTTTCTATATAAAGCGGAAGGTTCATTGTTTTGCAGATGGATGAACGATTGTTCCTATACTCTTTGTTGCAAAGGCTATTATTTCTCCATTGAACTATCTTGTCATCTTTGTTGAAAATCAATAGTTGAGAATCATTAGTGTGGTTCTGAGTCTGGACTCTCTGTTCTGTTCAATAGATCTGTATTTCTGACCTAATGCCAATACCAAATTGTCTTGATTACTGTAGTTTTACAATGTGTCTAGAATTCAATCAATGAGTTCTCCAACTTTGTTCTTTTTTCAGAAATTTTCTGGCTATTCTAGGTCTCTGGCCTTTCCATATACACTTTAGAATCAGTTTGTCAATTTTTATAAAAATCCTGGGATTTTGATAGATGTTGAATCTAAGAAAATTTGGGCAGAATTGACATCTTAGTACTTTTGAATCTTTCAGTCTACAGATATGATATATCTCTCCATTTATAAAAATTTTATTTGGTTTCATGCATCAGTGTTTTGTAGTTTTCAGCATACAGATCTTGCACATATTTTGTTAAGAGTTGTACTTATAGATTTTTTTCTTTTTTTTTCACCCAAAGCAGATGCACCTTATAGATTTTTATGCTAATTTAAATGGCATTTCTTTTTTTTTTTTTTCATTTTAAGATATCAACTGGTGTGTATTTCTTTTTTAATATTTCTATTTTAAATTTTTTTTTTTTTGCTATTATGTTTGAAAATGTGTATCTCTGTATTGAGCTTGTGTTCTACAACCTTGCTAAACTCAAAAATGAAGCCTAGTACTTTTTTTTGGTAGATTCCTTTTGTATATTGCGTATATGGGTTATGTAGCATCCTAACTTGTGTGTTTTGGAAGAAATTCTTGTGCTTAGTTTAAGTGGTTAAAACTTTGTATTAATAACAGCAGATTAATAACAATAGCAATTGTGTACTCCTTCAGTATTTGGGTATTTTTATTATTTTATTTTATTTTTAATTTTTTGTGTGTGTTTGGCTATCTTTTTACATACATACAATGTCCTGGAGCTTTTTGAAGATCATATGAACAAGTATTATTATCTTCCTCAGTATTTAAGTAAGAAAATAGAAGCTCAGAAAGATTGAGTGATTTGCCAAAGATCAGACAGTGTTTGGTGGATTTAGGCTATTAGCTGTTTCATTGTTTAGACTGTATTTATTATTCATTTCACTAATTCTAGCAGCTATCTTAAAAAGTATGCTGTTTTTTGGCCGGGCGCAGAGGCTCACACCTGTAGTCCCAGCACTTTGGGAGGCTGAGGTGGGCAGATCACAAGGTCAGGAGTTTAAGACCAGCCTGACCAACATGGTGAAACCCCATCTCTACTAAAAATACAAAAAATAGCTGGGCGTGGTGGTACACACCCTGTCCAGCTACTCAAGAGGCTGAGGCAAGAGAATCGCTTGAACATGGGAGGCGGAGGTTGCATTGAGCCGAGATTACACCACTACACTCTAGCCTGGGCCACAGAGTGAGACTCCATCTCAAAAAAACCAAGGTATGCTGTTTCTCATAAATATATCAAAATCAAAATAAATGTGAGATTGTGGTTGGATTAGTAAAGTTCTGAGTTCTATGGTTTCCATGTTAGGATTTGTTTTTTTGTTTTTGTTTTTTGAGACAGAGAATTTTTGCTCTTTTTCCCCAGGCTGGAGGGCAGTGGCGCAATCTTGGCTCATTGCAACCTCTGCCTCCTGGGTTCAAGCAGTTCTCCTGCCTCGGCCTCCTGAGTAGCTGGGATTACAGGCACATGCCGCCACGCGCAGCTAAGTTTTCGGATTTTTAGTGGAGATGGAGTTTCATCCATGTTGGTGAGGCTGGTCTCGAACTCATGACCCTCAGATGCTCCACCCGCCTCAGCCTCCCAAATTAGAGGAATTACAGGTGTGAGCCACTGTGCCCGGCCCCATATTAGGATTCTAACACAATTATTGTTAGGTCATTAACCTATAATTGGTAAAGGATAGTACACATCACACTTATTAGCATAATTTAACAGTTCTGAAATGTTCACAGTAGTGTGCTAGTATGATATAGCCTGTTCTGTTAAGCATGTTTATTTAACAAAAGAATCTTTCTGAGCTTTATGGTTGCATGATTCCTAATACATTATTAGATTTTGTAATCAACGTTTTTTACATCTAATTTCCAAAAATACTTTCACATCTTATGATCTCATTCTGTTTTTATGACACTCCTGCATGACAGAGCAGGGAGTGTTTTATGGTTTTTGGCTGATGAAGGAATTAAAGTATACACCATTAACCTTGATAAACTATTATTTGGTAGACTGTGGGGTACCAGGGCTGTAAAACAAGCCAGAGTTCCCTTCTCTGAAGAGCTCCTGATGAAACAATTAAAGTTGGAATTAGAACTCAGGTTACTTACTTTTTAGCCCCATGTATTTCAAGTACTAGTACTATATTGTCTCTTATTTTCAACAAACTAATTTAATGCCCATCTTCATGAGGTTTATACTGTGAGAACTTTATAACTAATCTTTTTCCCCCAGGTATATTTATATAAAAGTGTTTTATGTTTATAAAATTTCAGGATCCTTCTAATCTCGAGACTGCTTTCCTAATGTTTTCTCTTTTCTAAGATGAAAAACTCCTTGAGATTGATTTGCAGTTTTATTATAATTTTATGATTGCAGACTCATCTTTTGGTATAGTATTCAGTTCAGTAAATGATGTAGGTATCAGGGAGTATGTGATTAATTTTGCTTTGGTGGTAGGGGTGGTAGATATGGAAGTCAGGAAATGTTCATGGGAATCTTCTGCTGCTGGCTTTGACTGTTTTCCATCTCTAGTTAGAGAAAGGAGAGATTCTGTTCTGGTAGTCCTTTTGGTCTTTCCTCCACATGAACTTTCACTTAAAACATTCACAGCAGAAGAATTTTTTTTTGGCCACAACTCTTTCTGATGAAGTAACTAAATCTATTTATATATTTCATAGTTGAGCACTTTATGCTATTTTGAATTTTTTTTTTTTAATCTCAGTTTCTTAATTTTTTTTTTTTTTTGAGATGGAGTCTCGCTCTGTCGCCCAGGCTGGAGTGCAGTGGTGCGATCTTGGCTCACTGCAACCTCCGCCCTCTGAGTTCAAGCTATTCTTCTGCCTTATTCAGCCTTCCTAGTAGCTGGAATTACAGGTGTGTACTGCGACGTCCAGCTAATTTTTTTTTTTTTTTTTTGAGACAAGGTCTTGCTTGGTCGCCTAGGCTGGAGGGCAGTGGCACAATCTGGGCTCACTGCCCTCCTCCTCCTGGGTTCAAGTGATTCTCCTGCCTCAGCCTTCTGAGTAGCTGGGACTACAGGCGTCCACCACCATGCCTGGATAGTTTTTGAGTTTCACCATGTTGGCCAGGCTGGTCACGAACTCCTGACCTTTGCCTCCTAAAGTGCTGGGATTACAGGTGTAAGCCATTGCACCTGGCCCAATTTTTGTATTTTTAGTGGAGATGGAGTTTCACCATGTTGTCCAGACCGGTCTTGAATTCCTGACCACAAGTGATTCTCCTGTCTTGGCCTCCCAGAGTGCTTAGATTACAGGCATGAGCCACTGCGCCTGCCCTCAGTTCCTTAATTTTTAGTTTTATTCCTCCCACCTTTTAAGTAAAGTTTAATTTTTGATGCACTGACTGAAGCTCACCTCATCTGCAAGAAAGTGGTTTGCAGACAATAGTTAGGTAAACATTTAAGACTTTAGGGGTGCCTTTTAAAAAATTGTCTTTTTGAAAATAGAATATATTAATCTTTTATGTTTGTTCTAGGGCTTCATTTTTTTTCTTCTTTTTAAGATGGGTTTGTGCTCCCTTGCCCATGCCGGAGTGCAATGGCACGATCACGGATCACTGAAGCCTTGACTGCTCAGGCTGCTCCCACTGCAGCCTCCCGAGTAGCTGTGACCGCAGGTGTACACCATCACACCCAGTTAATATTTTTTATTATTATTTGTAGAGAAGAGGTCTTGCTATGTTGCCCAGGCTGGTCTTGAACTCCTGAGCTTAAGCTATCTGCCCATCTCTGCTTCCCAAAGTGTTGGGAATATAGGTGTGAGCTACTGCACCAGGCCTAGGCTTCATATTTTAAAAAGTATTCCTGGCCGGGCATGGTGACTCACGCCTGCAATCCAAGCACTTTGGAGGCCAAGGCGGGCAAATCACTTGAGGTCGGGAGTTCAAGACCAGCCCGACCAACACAGTGAAACCCCGTCTTTAAAAAAAAAAAAAAAAAAAAAAAAAAAGGTATTTCTGGCTGTATGCGGTGGCTCACTCCTGTAATCCCAGCACTTTGGGAGGCCAACGCGGGCAGATCACAAAGTCCAGAAAATCAAGACCATCCTGGCTAACACAGTGAAACACTGTCTCTACTAAAAATACAAAAAATTAGCCAGGTGTGGTGGCGTGCGCTTGTAGTCCCAGCTACTTGGAAGTCTGAGGCAGGAGAATCACTTGAACCTGGGAGGCAGAGGTTGTAGTGAGCCGAGATCATGGCACTGTACTCTAGCCTGGGCAACAGAGCAAGACTCCGACTCAAAAAAAAAAGTATTAGACTTACTACATTGTGTTTTCTTTGAGGTCGGAGAGTGTATAATATGCCTCTGAATGCCCTGTTGTTCAGCAATAACCATTCTGCAACAACCTCAAGAAATGTTTGTGGAAAATGTGTGAATGGTGATGCCTGTGATCGCATGTGATAGTTTTGCAAGGCCTTTGACTAAAGCAGGAAATGCGGAATTGATCACCTCGTCTTTTGAATAGTGATTGGTTTTCTGCTAGTATGTTTAGAAGTAGTTAGCCTGTTTCTCAGTATTGAAGTAGATCTTGTTTTAACTGTCATTCTCTAGTTATATTAAAACATGATTGGAATAAAAATAACAAATACTGTATTTTCCTCCTCCCTTAGATTCATGCCCGAAACCAAAATGAAATAATTTTTGGGCTGAATGACGGCTACTATGGTGCTCCATTTGAACATAAGGTAAGAGTTATGAGTTCTGTTTAGTGCAGGTGTGTTTTGAGGTGTACAGGTAGATATAATCCTGAAAAGCTCTGTGTGGATAGAATCATGCTTTAAGTCTGTTGTTTAGTGTGGCTTAAGGTGAATGTTTTTTAATGTGAAAACTCATTCTGTAAGGCACATAACCATCCAGTCTATCTTTTCTAAATCCAGATTATATTAATTTTTCTAAAGGAAATCTGGAACTAGCTGTTTTCTCTTATTCTACATAATTCTTTGGGGGTTAAGAAAGGATGGCGATTTTTGATTAACTGCTATACAGTTTTATTAAATGTTTCAGATATCTTTTATAACTTTCAATACATTTAAGAAACTATGAATCAGGTTGTTTTATGGTCAGCATTATCTCTACATCTAAAGGTTATTAGAGAAAGGAAAGGGAAGCGAATTCATATTTACCAAGTACCTACTATCTATGTTACTGTGCCAGGTGATTCGTGTCCTTTTCCCACTTAATACTAGCCACAAACTAATGCGGTGTGTTTTGTCCTTTCCATTTTATAGATAATGAAAAAGGTTGTTAGTGATGGCCTTCAGAGGTTCATACATCTAGAAGGTATCTAAACTGAGATATCAGGTTGCCTGCCTCTATAACGTATGCTTTTTGTATGCTAGTATGGTGTTCTACCTATTAGCCCTGTGCATTATTTGCTCTTAGTGATCATGTTGCTTCATAGCTCTTGGTTATCTGAAATGCTGTTGCTTAGAGGACTTCATTTATTCAACAACACTTTATTGAGCACCTGTTGTATTTCAGCCACTGTACAATACTCCAAGTGCTGAGAACACAGTGGTGAGCAAATGGATGTTTTTCTGCTGTTGTGGGGTGTATGGAAGAGGCAAACATGGATATAGTAATCTAGCAGATAAACACGTAAACACAAATAGCGGTAAATTCTATATAAACATGTCATGAGGACTTAACCTATTCCAAGGGCTCAAGAAACGTCTTCTTGGGGACTTGACATTTAAAGCTACACTCCAGATGATGAACAGAAGTGAGCTGTGTAAAGGAGATAGGGGCTGAATAGAGAAAACATTTCAGGCAGAGGAGGTTAACATGTTGGAAGACCATGAAGTGGAAGGGAATATCGTGAGTTTTAGGGACTAAAGGAAGGTCAGAATGATGAAAGGGGAGTGATACCCGATGAGGCTGGGGAGCTAGGCAGGGACCACAGCACACAGGACTTTTAAAGGATTTTACCCTAAGAACAGGGGGCTGTGTCAAAAGGATTTTTAGCAAGGCAGTGATCTAATCAGATTTGCATTTCAATAATTTGATTCTGGCTGCAGTAGAGACTGATTGTAGAAGAGGCAAGAGTATCTGTGGGAGGTCAATAAGGAGGATCTTACAGTATATGAGATAAGAGATATGATACTTTGAAACAGGATGACAGTAAGATAGAAGATAGATTTAAGAAAGTTTTAGTAGGTAAAATCATTAGGACTTGCTGATGGTTTGAATTTAAGGTATAAGAAAAAGGAGGTGTTATGGATGACTTTTGGGTTTCTGGCTTAGATGAAGTAACTGGATGGATAAAGGTGCGAGGCACTGAGAAGACTAAGAGATACTGGAAAACCAGGTTTGGTAGAGGCAGATTGTGAGTTGCGATTTGATCCTATGGAGTTTGAGATGCCTTTGAGACATCCATATGTAGATGGAAGTAGGCATTTGGATATATGAGTCTGAAGTTTAGAGGAGAGAACTGGGTTAGAAATATAAATCTGGGGCCAATGACAAACAGTCATTGAAGTCATGAGTGGGGATAAGATAGACTAGGAGCAGGCAGTACTGTAGGAAGAAAGGGGGCTCATGCCTTGAAGACCTCCAGCTTCTAAAGGCCACATAGACAAGGGGGCACCAGAAAAGATGACTGAGAAGAAGCGGTCCAAGGAAAAGAGAGCAAAGTTTTGTGTAGAATCTCAGAGTCCAAAGAAAGAAAGGCTTTTGTTCTTGTTGTTGTTATTTCTCTTTTTGCTTTTTTTTTTTTTTTTTGAGACAAAGTCTCGCTCTTGTTGCCCAGGCTGTGCAGTGGTGCCATCTTGGCTCACCGCAACCTTCGCCTCCTGGGTTCAAGTGATTCTCCTGTTTCAGCCTCCTGAGCAGCTGGGATTACAGGCATGCACCACCACGCCTGGCTAATTTTGTATTTTTACTAGAGATGGGGTTTCTCCATGTTGCTCAGGCTGGTCTCAAACTCCTGACCTCAGGTGATCTGCCTGCCTTGGCCTCCCAAAGTGCTGGGAGTACAGGCATGAGCCACCGCACCCGGCCTTTTGGCTTGTTTTTTAAGAGGAGAGAGTGATCAAATAGGAGGACCAAAAATTGCCCATTGGATTTAACAAAATGGAAGTTATTCAAGTGACTTCTTCAAGATTCAGTTCAAACTCTGATAGACATTTTTCTTTCTTTATTTTGAAGCTCTCCTCTTCTAAGTTCCTATAGTAACATGCTGTGTATACCTTTGACATAAAATATATCACTTTGCAAAGGCCTGTCTTCCTTTCTAGTCTGTAAGCATTTGAAGGACCAATTTCAGTAAGTAATATTGAATTCCCAGCATCTGCTACAGTTCTTGGGGTATGCAGTTTGCTTAGTAAAAGTGTTTGTGATTTAATGAAAGAATCGTGGGACTGCTACTGCTGTTGTTTGTAATATCTCACTGACAGGGTTAGCTGTTCTCATACTGTTGTGTCATGAAATTCCTCCTGCAACTGGTATAACTCACCTTTTAGGACAATGTCTGGCACATATGATAATAATATTAGTAGCTAAAATCTATTGAGCATTACTCTATATCAAACACTGTAAGAACTTCATATCTATTACTGTATTTAATCCCCAAGAACCTTGTAGCCAGATCCTCACAGTTGCTGACCTCACAGTTGTTTGAGACCTTTCTCAGCACCAAACAAAAATCAAGGATTGATGAAATCAGAGAAATGTAAAAGAAATATTCCTTCCTGAAACAAACAAGAAACAAGGCAATAAACATCTCTGGAACAGAAATGGAATAGAAACACAAAGAAGTGGGAAGAAGCAGAAGACTCGGGCCTTCTGACTGCCCTGCCCAGAAGTAGGCAGAAAGATGGGCCCCTTGGGGCAAAATGAGGCCTAGATGAGCAGGAGAAGCTGAGTGGGGCTCTCCCTATTACAAACGGGGCTGAGAAAAGACAGCTTAGAGAAACTGCAGAACTTTAATAATAATCCTAAAAGGGGAAATTTGAAAAGCCAGCAGCAAGAAAAGAAATATTACTTACAAATTAGGCGGACAACAGACTTCTCATCAGCAACAGTAGATGCCAGAAGAAATATATCTTCAGTGTGCTATTAATTATTAATGTTTTAATTCAGTACCTAGTAAACTTTTAGTCAAGAGTGAGGGTAACTTGAGACCAGCCTGGGCAACGTAATGAAATCCTATCTCTTCAAAAAATTAAAAAAACAATTAGCCAGGCATGGTACATGCCTGTAGTCCAGGCTCCTTGGGAGGCTGAGGTAGAAGGACTGTTGGAGCCAGAAATTCGAGGCTGCAGTGAGCTATGATCGCAGCATTGCACTCTAGCCTATGTAACAGAAAAAAGTAAGAGTGAGAGAGGGTTTTATTGATTGATTCACAGAGAGTGTTGCTCTGTTGCCCAGTCCCACCCTAGCTTCTGAGTATCAGGGATTATAGGTGTGAACCACTGCACCTGGCAAGGATAGTTTTAAATTCATAAAGACTGAGAGTTTACTACCCACAGACCATTTGCCCATGCTGAATGATGCAAATAGAAAATGATACCAAAGGGAGGATATAGTATGTACAGTCAGAGATTAATTCACTAATTTAACTATTTGTGGACCCCTTGTATACAAATGGTTAAAACACAGGGTATACAAATGGTTAAAACATCAGTGAATTTAATTTCTGACTGTAAGCTAACAGAAATAAATATCTGATAAGCATATGTATTTTAAGGTGAAACAAACTAGGCCGTCGTTATTCAAAATGTAGTCTGGACCAGTGCTAGTCCAGGAACTGTCTGTCACTAGTCTGTGGTGAGCAGAGTGGAAAAAGTGAGAGTAAAAGTTTCAGAACTTCTAGAGCAATTTGACATTATTGAGATTTTTTGTTGTATTTTACAAAACTATCAGTTCACAATGGAATAAAGAAAAAAAAACCCTACCAGCTGGCCCTTCCCCACACAGAGAGAAAACCATTGCCCTAGACAACCATAATAGGGTGACAGTGGGTATTCAAAAGGTTAAGAATCATTGAGGTCACTGATTTGTTTGGAAGGAGGATAAAGATAGTAACCAACTTTAGGATTTGTTGGAAAAAAGCATGATCAAGTGTGCGTGTTAAAAATGTAAGGATACCTAAAGGAAAGGTTAAAAACAGAGAGCCGGGTGTGGTGATCACATCTGTAATCCCAGCACTTTAGTCTCGAACTCTGGATCCCAAGTGATCTGCTCGCCTCAGCCTCCCAAGGTGTGGAAATTACAGGCGTGAGCCACTGTGCCTGGACTGTAATCCCAGCACTTTGGGAAACTGAGGTGGGAAGATCACTTGAAGGCAGTAGTTTGAGACCAGCCTGGGAAACAAAGAGAGAGCCCTGTCTCTACCCACCCCCCCGCCAAAAAAAAAAAAAAGATGAGAAACAGAGATTATAGATTTCTAATTAGCAGAGGAAAAAAGGAAATAGAAGGAGTATAGAGAGCTTTGTAAACTTGGTAGGAAACAGAAAAGGAAATAAAAGGTAAAAAGAAACGTGTAGTGTGGGGGTAGCATTAAGTCCAAATATATTTGCAATCACAAAAAAATAAAAAAAATATAAAAAAAATTATAAAAAGATACAGGTTTGAAATATTTCGTTTAAAGCTTTAAAATGCTAAAGCAACAAGACTTTGAGAACAGGATTAAATTTTAAGAATGAGTGTTTTATACAGAAGAGGAAAAGTTATACTTAGAAATCAA